GTTTGAATCACATGTTAATATCTTTGAGTACGAATATTTTATGTTAAGATTAACTCTCTACCTACCAAATTTTTAAAAATTATGCTTCTCAATTATGCCAGAATTACCTTGAGTTAAAAAAAAAAAAAAGGAACAAAATTTTGGAAATTATGACTTGGCCACCTCAATCTCCTGACCTCTCTCCCACTGAATTAGTATGGGATGAATTGGATAGGACAGTTTGAAGAGAATACCCAAAGAGTGAGAGTGAGCTTTTTCAGTGCTATAAGAATGTTTGGGAAGATCTATTATTTTTTTTATTTTTATTTTTTTTTAACTGTTGGATAGAATGCCAAAAATTTGAAAATCAGTGGTGGTTTTATTGACAAAAACAAAATATAATGCTGTTGCATGATAGGAAAAAAAAAAAAAATAAAAAACAATTATTAGGTTGGTGCAAAAATAATGACATAATAATGTCATTTTGTGACGTATTTTTTAACATCAAAAAACGACATTATTACGTCATTATTTTTGCACCAACCTAATACATTAGTTACTGAAAATTTATCTTTTTACTTAAAAAAAATACAAAGATATCTTATTTTAAGGTGTTTAAGGTAAAATAATAAAAATAATATTAGCTGTTTCCTTATAAGGAAACATCTGCTTTCATTTGAAATTTATAAAATCTTTGTTAAAACTATTTTAGGTTTCTGAAATCCATTGTCATCACTCTTTCCAGTATTGATGGTAGTTTCCTTCCTAATCTTTTGTTTAAAGTGGTGTGGAATGTCAATATCTTGATTGTCTTTATTTCTCCTTCAAGTTAGATGTGATATCCATTTTAGCTGTTACTGCTGTTGAAAGTCCTCAAATCTGTAGTGCCACTCATGAAGTTTCGAAGAAGGATGGTCCTCACTAAGACCTATATGGTTCATTCACTTTAAGCCATTTTTAACCATTAATCTGAGAAAATAGTTGTAGACTGATAATATTTTTTCTTCAATATTAACTTTATTGAACAACATATTTATGGCTGTGTTATCTTTCAGATAACTTCATAATTCTATCCTCTCACAGCTTTTTACTTTTTACAAAGTGACTTCGGCAATATTTTTAGGAAATGAAAGAGAATTGAGGAAAGACCAGATTAAATATTAATCTGAAGATTCAATATCCGATGATAGTGCCAGATCAGTGAAAATTTCTCAGTCTGGCTATAAGAATTTTTGCCTGATTGCAAAAAGATCATTATCTTTATATAATATTACACCTTTTCTCTTTGCTAATTTTGGAGGTTTTTTCATTCATTGCTGAATTGGTTTAACTAGGAGCAGTACACATTCAAATTGTTTAGTTCTCCAGAGAAGATTATAATAGAGGACACCCTTCCAATCCTACCATCACTCTGTTTGACTGAAGATCAGCCTTCAGTATGGTTAGTGGTGGTTCATGTGGCTTGTTCCATGATCACTTGCATTATTATAAAGTATCCACTTTTCATTGCCTGCCATAAACCATTTCACAAATAGATCATTTCCTCTTATACTTAATGTTGTGGCCTTGTTAGGGCCAGAAATAAAGACACAAGAGAGGAATTGAGTTAAACAAATATATTAACAGAAGCGGTAATACAAACATATACAAATGAGAGTGTTACAGCAAGAATGTTCAGTCCAATTGTCAGAACTGACTGTTGCAAACTTCCCTCTCCAAAAGGCAGTACCTGCTCCTATTTATAACTGGGAGAGTCCATGTGTGTGTGGGTAAATTACCATAACACTTAAGTAATGCATAACACAGGGAAATATACTTAAGTGGATTTTTCAGTTCTGTGGAATCCACACATCAAAGTGTCTACCATAATCAAATGATTTTCATTACTTGATTTGAATATTTTGAGCATGTTGATCTGCATTGTATAACATTGATTATTCTCAAATAATATGTTCATTTGATTGCTATCAAATTCAATTGGTCTATTTGACCATAAAATATTGTTCAGCAAAAAAATCTTCAGTAAAAAAAAAAATTCATAAACCATTTTTTTGACATGTTTAATTTTAACATAACAGTATCTTTTTTTTTAGTAATATATAAATATATATATATATATATATATATATATATATATATATATATATATATATATATATATAATTTTATATATTCAGTGATGAGCTAAAGAAATAAGCCTTTTAGTAAAAATTAAGCAAATTGATATTTTTCACCTAACAAGCTGTAAGTGTTCAACAATGTGTTTTCAGGATTAGTATCTGAGGTAATTCTGGACAATAATACAAGTTGTCTTATTTACATAGCACCAGTACAAAGAAAGATACAGAGCTGAATGCATTGTGATGCTGAAAATATGGCTTGAAAAGGTTATGAGCTACTTGACATTTCTGAAGATTAACATCATCCCAAATTAAGATATGCATGCAAATTTCTCATGTTAAATGTTCAAACACAGATTGCATAAAGTCTAGAGCCTTCCACTTGATTTAAATTTCAAAATGGGAAGAGTGAGTTTAGAGAAGCAGATGAAAATTATTGAAATGGCAAAAGGAATGAGTCTATGTGAAAATCACTAAGGAGCTTTGAATATCAAGATATAGTCCAAGTCAGCCAGGAGAAGCATGTCAATATTGGGATCATTTTGGATATGAAAAAGACTAGCCTCTCTGTGCTTGCTTGGTCTCATGCTGTCTACTGACCTGAAGTGGAGCAACTGCATTGAATCTATAGCTTGATCTACTGCAAGGAAAGTTGGTTCTCTGTGTCATACCAGAAGGTTTTTCTCGCCTCAGTCCATCTTTCAAATCTACAAATCAACCATTCGTCCTTGCATGGAATACTGCTGCCATATATGGTCTGGTGCTCCTGCTGTTCATCTCGAGGTCCTCGACAAAATCCAGATATGCAACATGACTGATCCTGATCTGGCATCTTGTCTGCAGTCACTTTCTCACAGACATGCTGTGGCTTCCCTCTGTCTTTTCTACAAGCACTTTCATGGCAACTGCTCCAAGAAGCTACTTTCACTGGTTCCCAAACTGCATGAATTTAAGTGTGCTACTAGGTTGGCATCTCGGTCTCCCACTTTCACTGGTAAAATGACTAAATGTAGCCATCTCTTCTACTCCAACAGCTTCTTATCTTGCACCTCCCATCAGTGGAACTCCCTTCCTATCACTTGCTTCCCTGATAGCTATAATCTTCAATTATTCAAATGTAATGTCAATCGACATCTTCTGATACCTTGACCTTGATCCCTGTCCTTCTCTTTATCCTTTTCCCAAACAATCCTATTTATTCTTACTCTCACTCTCTTTAACCCCTTGCATGGCTCTCCTGCCTTGCTTGGGGCAAGCTGCTTAAAAAAAAGAAGACCTTCAAAGTTAGATAAAAGAAAGCTAGTGAGGCTATCAGTATCCAATCCAAAGTTAGCAGTTTATCAGTTAATGGATAAAAGCAGCATTACTACTGTAGAGTCAAATCATGCAATAAGAAAGCTATTACAGAAATATAAGGTTTGAATGCATTGTAAAAAAAAACAAAATAAACCTCATAAACCAAAAGTATCAAATAAAATGAGAACATTGGGTAAAAGAACATCGACTATAGAATAATAAAAAATGGGCAAAAGTGATACATAATAGTGAAAATAAAATAGAATTGAATTCTAATGCAAGCTTTGGTTTGGTTTGTTTTACGGCATATCAACCTCAATGGGTTATTTAATGCCAGTAAGATTTTTATTGTTGGTAATTTTTTTTTTTTTTTTTAAATGTATTGCTGGTAAATTTTTTTCCAAAAAGTATTGCTGGTATTAAAACCTATTTTTATACTTTTATAGTGTTTTGACCCCTTTTTTTGGTGGGGCTAACTATTTGCCCATAGCTGGGACCCTGACAGGTGCTACCACTCCAGGTCAGGGTGAACCTGGGAACACGAGCAATTAAGAGGTGGTTCCACCCTCCTCAAAAGCTTCTGATCTGGCTGTTGGACATAGTTTATCGCTTTACCCAGGACGCAGATGTAGTTTATCATCATACCTAGAGAGTAAGTTCAAAGACCGATTGGTACAAGAAACAATCTAAAATATGCAACAAAGAATATAAAATTTGGTGGTAGGCATTTAATCGGTTGGCACTACATCAAAAGCAATGGTACAAGAAAGTTGATAAAGATTCATGGAATATTGAACAACAAAAAATATCTTACTTTGCTAGGATCTCACCTATTACCAGAAAATAGCAGAAGGTGAAATATTCCAACATGATGGATCACCTTGTTATATATTGAGTGTAACAAAGAAGTTTCTCTCTGATGAAGACATTGCAGTGTTACAAGATTGGTCCGCCCAAGGCCCTGATCTTAACATAGCCAAACCTATGGAAAAAGAGTTGATTGAAATTCTGGTGTATAACACAAAGTCAAAGAACTTGTAAGAACTTTTGTGCTTGTTATCAAGAGGTACGGCAGAACCTTCCTGATGAAACAATTTTTTAAGTTGTATTCCTTTTATCCCACATTGAGTTAGGGCTGTATTTCTTGCCAATGGGAGATTGATTAAAACTTTTAATATGCCTAGTTATATAAATTATGCTTTATTTTCAGTATCCTGTTGCATTCAGGTCTGTAGTACAAAATAGCTATACTAATATGACGTCAAATAATGTCAAATATAATACTAATTACGTCAAATACTTAAAAAAACCTTTTTAATAAAAATTAATCAAATTGATTTTTTGACTACGTGGCTTGTTTCTTCTGTATGTGTATGCATGAAAATGTTGTGGGTGTTTGCATGTAAATGTTAGATAATTGTATGTGTTTGCATAACCGTGGTGAACAAAATTGTTCTATCATTATTATTATTATTATTAGCATTTTTTTTTTTTTTTTTTTTTTTTTTTTTTTTACTTTTTTTTACTTTTTTTTTCTGTAAGAACCATTTTGCTTTCAAAATATTTAGAAAGGGTTCTTTGACATTTGATGTTTCTTATTTTCAGGTTAAGTTTTCTTGATTGCCAAGACAGATTGCGGAACCAGATAAAGAAACATGGTGAGTTGAAATATTTTTTTTATAATTTGTTGGCTAAAAACGGATACCAAATAATTATTGTTCTTTAATCCCTTTGAAATTTAAAAAAAATTTCTACTGAATAGATTTTTAAATTTTTTATTTTTAATTCTTTTAAAATGTTTATTTCATTTCATTTTGCTATGTGATACATTTGTTCATTATCATTTTCTACAAATCAGGGTAAAATAATAACCTGGATGAAGTTTTTTTTTATTTGATGTTTAGAAAAGTAATTAAAAATATACAGACAACTTTTTATGAAAAACTTTTATTGGATGTGTGTATATCAGATGCTATACACAACATGTTGCAAGATTAACACAGACATCATGTGGCAATAAGTGTGTAAAATACTTCATTTCATGGAGATTAACAAAAACATATTTATTAAAAATCCACTAATTGTTTACAGCAAACTTGAAGACTTATATCATTAGATCAGGTTACTTTTGCTGTTTGAATAAATAGCAAGGGGTGTATGCTGTTATTAAAATATTTTGAAAATAACACTATATTTGAACCATTTACCATTTGCTAAAATTCCCAAAAATGTAAAAAAAAAAAAAATGAATATTTCTTGATCTTATGTATTTTATTTGGACCCACTTCCTGTTTGTTAAATTTTGGGGAATTTAAATATACCATGTCTTTTATTTACTACCACCCTCCCATGTATTCAAGAGGTAAGAGTAGAGGCTATTATATTAATTATTGGTAAATGAGAGATTTGGTCCAAGATACAAATGAAATTACTCCAAGATGCAGCCACTTTCAATAAAATTGTACATTGTTATTTTTATCAATCTTTGCTTTGTTCTAATGCAATTGTTTTGGGTGGTAACATTTGTGACTATTAATATATACTAGGCTTAAAGTATGACCCAAAGTTTCAAGTTTTGTGTACCGAGTTAAGGCCATTATAATGTGTGATACTAGTTAGTTCACTAATGCTTCATAGCCAACCCTTCCTACTAATTCTGTTCTTATTTTGGTAAGCAATAAAGAAAGCCAAAAGACTCTGTATCACCCCATTCTTCTAGCATTAGGAATTCTTGCTATCTTAAATAGTATTGTACTTTGTATTGATTATACATTTCTTGGAATTTCTACAGGATGTTCGATATACTTGGGAACACATCTTTAGCAAGATAGAAATAGAAGATGGCCTCATGTTTAGCAGCATGTGCCAAAGTTCAACATGCTCATATTTCAGATTTTTTTTTTTATTTGACCTCGGTCAAGATCATAGTCCACAACCTCATACCACTGTTAATTGTGAACAACATAATATTTCAATGGTTCTATAGTATGCATCTTGCCAGGGTTACACACATGTTTGGAATTCAGAATTGTCCTTCTAGACTGGTTGCCAACCATGGCTAGAGATCCCAATCTGTCTTACTATTTAACCCATAGCTGGGTGAATGAAAAAAGATGGATTCATACCTTTCCCAAGGGTATTTGTATGAGAGTAAGTGTAGCAAACTCTGCCAGAAATTGTACTCGTTCTAGACTTCTCATTATGTTTGTACTCGTTCTAGACTTCTCATTATGTTTGTACTCGTTCTAGACTTCTCATTATGTTTGTACTCGTTCTAGACTTCTCATTATGTTTGTACTCGTTCTAGACTTATTATGTTTGTACTTGTTCTACCCCCCTATTGGATGTGCAGATGGTGTAATGGTTACTGGCTGTTAATGAGAAATTGGCAAGCTGAGCTCAAATTTCAGTCAAGTTTTACATTCACTTTTGAGTTATTCTGTGTCATCACTGATAGACTTTTTTTTCAGAATTGTTACACGTATAGAGATTTGTGATATGAATTGAATGGTATCTATTTAACATCTCTAGTTCAAAGGGTTCCTGAGATATGACCCTTGGACGTTTGCCAAAAAAGGTGAATTTTGGAAAATAGTCACAAAATAGCAGCTTTTTTTTAAGCATATATATATATATATATATATTTGCAACTCATTTATAAAAAGAAAAAAAAAAAAGAAAAATCTTTCATCTAAGTGAAATTTGAATTTTTTTTGCTTACTCACCATACCAATTAAATGAAATGGATTAAATTAACAAAAGATTAAATATGATGCAATATTTTTATTTTCTCCCTTCAATAAGCAATTCAATGTTGTAAATAGATTAATTAAATGAATAAACAGACTTTGACAGTTCATATCTATAAGTGATTTAAAAGTATTAACACTGTCAGTTATCAGTAATAAAAAATGTAAATTATAAATAATATACATAATTGAAATGTAGAAACAAATAATAAACACTTCAATGATTTTATATAAACAGAAACTTCCCATGAGCCTCCTCTAAACTGACACAATTTAATATATAAACAGAGACTTCCCATGAGCTTCTTCTGAATTGATACAATTTAATATATAAACAGTGACTTCCCATGAGCCTCCTTTGAACTGACATCAATATCCCAATTATTTTTTTTCACCTACAAAGTTAATTTATTTACTATTTTAAAGTACTTGGATAGATCTAAAAGGTGATCTATTTATTTTTTATTTGAATACAAAACTAATGGGGAGGGTCTCTCAAGTCCTCTATATTCAAACTCTGGAGTATAGGACCCACAGCTTCAATACCTTGGGCATTGTTGTTGTGGTTTCCATAACAAGTAGATTTTTATTGAGATGGAGTTGATAGTCTTATACCCAACCGATTTTGAATTTAGTTTTTCTCTTTCTATACTAGTTGCAAACCTAGGCTAAAAAAAAGCACAGAAGATGTGGAATCATACCAAATGTATTTGCTGTGTCAAATTGACAAGGGTCTGACCATTACTGTCAGATTTTTTCCAAATTTGCTACATTTATAGAGCTTCATGATAATAATTGAACGGTGCCTATTTTACATCTCCACGTCAAAGGGTTCCTGAGATATGACCCTTTGACCTTTGCCAAAAAAAGGTGAATTTTGGAAAATAGTCACAAAGTTTAAATATCAATATAACTGTTTGAAGTTATATCAATTTCCAGTCCATCTGTTTAATTAATCTTTTCTGAAAAAATGTCAATTTCCCAACCTGAATCTGAATGTGGTACATGTGATTTGTTTCTTCACCAACACGTCAACCTTTGAACTTCATTAAAAAGAGGCAAATATTTGTGCACAACTCACATTGAAAGTTTTTGGACAGTTCAAGAAGACCATGTGAACAATTTTTAATATTGTTAACTAGCATCAACAATACACACTTCTTTTGGTGTGTAACAGTCAACTGTTAAAAAAGTTACACATTTTATCATTAAATAAATAATTTCTGTTTTTTCAAATGTGAATTTTTTAGTGTCAAACATAAACATGTGATTGCAAGATAATTGTATCAGTTCAGAAGAGGCTCATGGGAAGTCTCTGTTTATATATTAAATTGTGTCAGTTTAGAGGAGGCTCATGGGAAGTTTCTGTTTATATAAAATCATTGAAGTGTTTATTATTTGTTTCTACATTTCAATTATGTATATTATTTATAATTTACATTTTTTATTACTGATAACTGACAGTGTTAATACTTTTAAATCACTTATAGATATGAACTGTCAAAGTCTGTTTATTCATTTAATTAATCTATTTACAACATTGAATTGCTTATTGAAGGGAGAAAATAAAAATATTGCATCATATTTAATCTTTTGTTAATTTAATCCATTTCATTTAATTGGTATGGTGAGTAAGCAAAAAAAATTCAAATTTCACTTAGATGAAAGATTTCTTTCTTTTTCTTTTTATAAATGAGTTGCATATATATATATATATATATATATATATATATATATATATATATATATATATATATATATATAAAAAAAAGCTGCTAAGCTGCTATTAAACATATAACAAAAGGAGTCAGAAGAAGCAACTATCCGGAATCTAAAATCATCTAAAAATAAATAATTAAATGTGTGTGACTTTTGACTAACTTCAAGTGATCATAATTTAACAAACACTTAGTGTTTGAACAAAAACTAGTTCTAAAATCCTGAGACTGTCTATTTTCAGACTAGATATAGCACATATTACTTGGGAAATGTTTAAAAAATGCCAAATGTTCACTTTTAAGCACCCTTTGGACTCTAGTTGCTATCATATTTATGATACTCAGAAAAACGGTAAAAGCAAAGTGAATATACAGTAGAATCCCTGACAACTGGACTAAGAAGGCCTTCCGGATTTGAGATTGATTACAAAGTCTGGATATGAGGCGCTATATTCATATTAAAATAAAAGAACTGAAATCAGGTTTAACATTTATTTTCAATGTTTTATAGTAAACAAAATAAGCTAATGGTGAGTGAAATGTAACAGAATTGATTTTAAGGAAAAAGAAATAAATTATGTAATATTAATGAAAATTCATTAAATTAAGTCTGCCACGTATGCAAAACAAATAATGTAACAAGGATTTTTTAATCAGTTGCATGATGATTCTTTCTCTTCTAATGTCATTTTCAACTTTTTCCGCATTTCATTTTGCTTTTGTTCTTGAAATTTTTTAAATGAAAGACACTTTTTAATTCTGTATGAAATCATCACAGCTGGATGCTGGCTTTCTTTCCATAAAACTGATAACCTTTTCAATAGTTTTTTTCAATTTCAGTCCAGGTTTCATCACAATCATTCATCTCATCGCTATCTTGTTGCAGATGTGTCTCATTGTCGTCCTTTCCTCTTATTCCCATCATCTTTTGCATCAATACAAGCTATTAGGGTAAAATAAACATAAACAACTATCCAAAGTAAATTTCCTGAAAAACAGAAATTTTCGGATCAGTTACATATTGCCCAAATAATTCAAATATAAACATCAAAATCATGTCCGGATATGCAGGATTCCAGATTTGAGGGATTCTGGATATGAGGGATTCTATTGTAATTTGCTCTGAATTTGCTGCAGTTTTATTTTTACTTGTGAAATTTATCAGTCTCATCTTGTATGCACTTTAAAATTATAATTTTATTCTCTACAATCTGATTAAGAGTTACTTGCTTCATTTAAAGAGAAATTAACTTCATTTTTTCTCTTTTTTTTTCTTTTTACAGAAAAGGAGTTAAAAGCCCTTCGCTATGAAAATCTAAAAAGCATGATACTTGCTGTTATTTTCTTTTGTATCCTCTGCGTCATATATGCCATCATCCACATTAGATGACATTAAAAGAATTGCAGGCAGCTCAAGTGGGGAAAATTCCAATTCTTGTCCACCTGATGGAAATCTCTTTAAAAAGTTCAAAAGTTAAAAATTCACATCCTCCTTTCCTTTCTCCCACTATGGATTTTTTTTTTGTTTTGCTTCAAAAACGTAATCTGCCATGATTTTTGCAAGATCTTTTTGCAGAATCATTAAAGATACTTTCAAATTTTTTTTCCCACAAAAAATAAGTTTTTTTTTATTTTATTTTCCAAAGACACGTTTTTTTTTTCTCTCCAGATTTTTAATTTTATGATTATTTTTCAGAATTGTATCTGTTGGACTCAATTAAAAATGTTCAATCATTTCCTATTGAAAAAAAATTATAAACTTTAACAGAAAAAGAATTTTCAAAACCATACTTGTCTTGTCTTTTAAAAATATCATTTGGTTTTTGATTTTTCTTTAAATATTTTTATAAAAACATTCATGGAACTCAAAACATCTAACAAAATATGAAGTTAATAAATAATTTTAGAACATTTAGTCTTAGACAGAATAGAAGTGAATAATTTCCCTTTTTGTTAAAAATCTTTTATTTTTAGTCATTATTAATCAAATTTCTTTTATTTTTGGAATCAAGTCTAAAATTATTTGCTATTTTTTTAAAACTAAACAAATTCAAGTGTAAACCATGACAAGGATAAATAATCAGTTCATTGTAGAATTTTTTGTATTTCATATCTACAACCTGACAATGATATGAATAGAAAAAAATCATGATGGACTCTTTGTTCAATCAAGTCTTTAAAAAAGTACATTGTTATATATATATAATTTTTTTTTACCTTTGAAGGGAGAATGTTTGAAAGGGATTTGTTGTGGAGAATGATTTCAAATTTATTTCTTACACCTGCCATACAAAATACACACCCTCCTCCTCATTTGATGACCTCAAAGTGTGTTTGTAAATTTGGTTGCAATATGCAACTGTCCATATCAAAATGTCTTTAAAAAGAAAATGAATTCAGGTAATAATAAACATTTTTTAAAAAAAAAATATTTGTCTATTGAAGTTTTTTCTATTCTTTGTTTAACTGGCATTTTTTATTTGTGTGTTTATATATATATATATATATATATATATAATTTAAATAAAAACAGACCACTTTAAGGTTCTATGTAATAAATTATTTCACCACAGCCCTTTTAAAAGGGCTATGGATCATCAGACTTTACTTCCAAACCTGAAGTAAAATCTGATGACCCACAGTCCTTTTAAAAGGGCTGTGGTGAAATAATTTATTATATGGAACCTTAAAGTGGTCTGTTTTATTTAAATTATTTGCTCTGGATTTACATTGAGCTCTCTGGATTTTATCCTCCTTAGGTTTACCCATACGGATTACCTAGTTTTCATAAATAAACTAAATATATATATATATATATATATATATATATATATATATATATATATAATATGCAAATTTATATGTCACACTAATTGTAGGTAAATGAATGACAAAAAAGACATGCTGTAGAAAAATGCACATGGTCAGCTAGTTTGTGCATTTAGTTACATTGGGTGCCAAAAATTAAAATTTAAACAGAACCATGTCTTTATCTTCAATATTTCTAAAAATGTGGAAGTGTAACTGACTTTTGTTGCATTTCTACCTCCCTCCCTCCATCCCTCTAGATTTCTGATTCCATTGATGAAAACATTGGTTTGAAGAAATCCTTTCAAAGAATGAAACATGTAACAGATTTTTTCCCTTTTTTGTCATTCAATTGTCTATATATATATATATATATATATGTGTGTGTGTGTGTGTGTGAAAAGTGTGTGTATATAAATATAAATAAATATATATATGTATAATTATTTATATATTATATGTGCGGTACTTATTAGAAAGCACTCAATATCAGAGATAGAGCTAACATATTTGGTTGGATAGATGTGAGTTTGTGACCCTGGGTTTCATGCTTTAGTGATTGTCAGACAAACTGATTAATTTTTTTTAAATTTTGGGTTTATGTAGATTGCGTGTATTGGTGTTATTGTGGAAGTGGTGGGGGAAACTTCATCGTTTTGTCATCGTACTAACGTAAACATCGATGTATGCAGACACATATACATACTTGGTCGTCCGTCGGGACTCATACATATATAAACATATGTGGGCAGTTTCGGATATGACATATGTATACACGCAATCTACATAAACCCAAAATTTTAAAAAAATTAATCAGTTTGTCTGACAATCGCTAAAGCGTGAAACCCAGGGTCACAAACTCACATCTATCGAACCAAATATAATTCCAAGTGTGAGGTACATTATTACACCAATGTCCAGATATTATATTTTTTTAAAAAAATGCTCAATACAGAGTAGAGCTTGATAATAATAATATTTATTAACAATTATAACAAAACCATGTTATAAACCGCTACATAAATGCAATCATGTTTCGACAGTGTGTGTCTCCTCAGTAATTTTCAAGGTACTACCAGAAATATTTTCATTTTAAAAAGAAAAATCTCTAAATGTCTTGTCTGTTTTCTCTCTCTCATATATATTAATACAAATATAAAGTTTCTCACTTCACTGATTGGTGATACCTTCATCATTCAGACACCAGTTTTGTAGACAAATCCTTCAGCAATCACTTCATCCACTTGTCAGGGGATATCAACAATTAAGTGCTTATATTTGTGTGTGTTTTATTAAATAGAATGAACAAAGGCATTGCCAGTTAAGCCTTTCAGTGAGTTTCTCCTTATCAGTGAAGATCATAAGTTCAATCAGATATTACGTAGATATTTCAAAGAAACACCAGAATTGTGTGTCTTTTCAACCATTGTTGGTTGTCACCAAGGAAAATTTACCTTTACAAGTTTCCACCTGATACCAAAATGACTTATTCCGTTAGATACCAGGTAACAAGGTTTTACAAATGTTTTCTGTCCATTCTATTTAATTAAGCAGATTTAAATGAAGAATTGCAATATAATGCAATAGTTGCATAAGGTATTACATGGATTCGAGTTAAACTTTTCTTCAATGAGTTGTTTTTGATAAGGCACTTTGGCTGAAACCTAATAGAAATTTTGCTTAAGGTATCACAGCATCAGGGCCAAATATGCTTTTGAAGTCAGAGTTGTCCTTAGACTGGTTGCCAACCTGTTAGTACCTATTTTATTGTAATGGACTTTCCCATAGATAATAAGTAGGAGTAGCAGTGGCAAGTCTGCAGAACGGTGTTGAGCGTGTCAGCCGAGATTCGGACATTTGAAGTACTAACCATCACAACTAGATTTGCTGCGTCATTGACTCTCATTTTCCAAGTTCCTAACGTTTTGTACGTCGGACCTAATTTAGGACGACTTATTAGAAATACAAGCCTCCACTGTGAAAATACTCCACAACACAACCATGGCTAAAGAGTTTAGTCTACCCTGATATTTAACCTATAGCTGTGGGAAGAGGATTCATACCTCTCTCAAGGGTAGTTGCACATAAGTCAACTGGAATTTGAACCTGGGTCTTCAATTTCTCATTTTATTCTAATACCCATTACACCACCCAATCATCCTAAATATATTATGTGCCTTTAGATTTAGATGTCACATTTTCTATCCACTGTTAAAACATTTCCCAATTGTATTACACATAGTAAAGGACAAGTTTTGTTTTTTTTTGTTTTTTTTTTTTTTTCAGCAGCAAAAACAATAACAAACAGAAAATTTAAGCATTACTAGTAACAAGTTTATTCACGGTGATACTTTTAGAGTAAAAAAAAATATTATCATTTAATTTAGGAATGTATGCTACCCACCATCTCATGGTGATCTAACATTGAAACATTACGTATATCTATAGACAAGATCTTATTAACATGTGACACTATTGGAAAGGTAAATAGTAAATAGAAGAACACTAAATTCCGATAGACTAAAGATATACGGATGCCCAGATAAAGGAAAATGAAAGAAAAAGATATTTGTTTTTAATTGAGAAAAAAACTAGAAGACTGAAAAACACTAAATTCCAATAGACTGAAGATATACCGATGACCAGATGAGGGAAAAATCAAAAAAAAGGATATTTGTTTTTTTTTTTTTTTTATTAGAAAAAAAAAAACTAGATAGTAATTAAATTTCTCAGCTGCCAGAGAGGTAAAACAAAGAAACCATCTGGTTTTGATTAGAACTGAGACTATGTGACAAGCTATTCTGGAGGTTCATGGACTTCCCAGAAAGAAATAGATAATATTTTTACAACCATTGAATAAACAGATCTCTGGCTGCGAATTTGGTCATAAGGATTAGCTTTTAAAAGCAGACAGGTTTCCAGCAGAAAATGGGTAAGAGAATGATAATTAAATTTTTCGTCTGCCAAAACGTGATAAAACTTACCAAAATCAAGGGATTGTTCCCTTTTTCCTACTTGTTGACCAAAGTGTTGACAATGGGATAAGAATGATAGATTCCAGATGCAAAAACAACTATATACAAAAGCACAATACAAAAGAATTTGAAATGATAATTAAAATTTGGCCGTTGGGCTAAACCATTCCTAGCCCTTACTGGACAAGTTTGGTCAGGTGACCAAGGAGGAGAGGGCCAAGGTGGAATTTCAGGGAAGGTGGAGGACTTTCCACATTCATTGGGCAGTGATGGTGAGAGTCATTCACACAAAGCAGGAAGGAGACAAGTTTGATCAGGTGACCAAAAGAAGGTGAAGGCCCAGGTACAATTTCAAGGAGGGAGGAGGGACTCCTCCATATTTAGACATTTTTAGGGAGAGCCCTGCTTGATTGTATGGGAAACATGGCCATTCCCAGAGCACATCATGCCCCACCCCAGCCCTTGCATATGGGTCCATAAAAACAGAACACTACAGCAGAGAGAGACAGAAAGCAGAGACACCGCGGACAGACTACAGCAGAGAGACCACTACTTCACCTGATCTTATACGACTTGTCACCCTGAAGAAAAAGCCTCCAACTTAAAG